AGGAGGGGAACAGCCAAGGCCACTTTATATGGTCCTGGCTGTTTGCTCACTCGTGACTAAGATGGACTTGGAAGACTAGTCTGGGGATCTACTTCTAAAAATCAGCTGCTTAAAATTCTGGGGAGCAGTTCCGTTTCGGCATACATGGGGGCGCCATGAGTCTGTTGCCTCAGTGGCACCTGGCCTGGAGTTTTGGTTTATGGTGTCTGTGAAATGCAGTGTCTTGAGTTGGGCTCACACTCTGCCTGCCACTTACTATAAAGAAACTACAGCTAACAGATGTAGGAAGGGGTAGGAAAGGTAAACATAACAAGTGGGAAGAATGCTGTTACACAATGGGGATTGCAATCAACGTCAAAATGTGTATGCATTGTTGAAGGGAAAGCTAATGTGCTCTGTGTCACATTCAGCCAAGTCACAAGAACAAGTTCTAAACAAAAACTCATGAAGCTTCCCAAGTCCCAAAGGTCTCTTGACTAGCTCAGTACAGAGTAGATGTGATGGGTGCCAAGCTGGTGAGGGTGCTGGGAAACTGAGTAACCTGTGGTGACTTACTGGGCAGAGATTGGCACCTTGTAGTCCTGATGTGGTGCTGTAGGATCAGCACTGGACTGCGAACTCAAGCTTGGCAGCTCAAACCCACCAGGTGCTCCTTGGAACCCCTGTACAGGGTTCTGAACTCCCTGTCCGTGAGTGGGAACTGACTCAATGGCACTTCACATTTACCTATGTACTAAGTTCCCGTCAGTGCAGTGCATGGGTGAATGGGTAGCGTGTTTACTAAGCTGGGTACTCTGCAGCTGTCCGAGGAAGACACAGAAAATAGACGACAGGGTGGATGGCGCAGGGTCTTTATAGTTGTAAAGAAGTGTCCTTGTGAGCAAAGTTCTGGATGCGAAACACACTGTGAGTAGTGACTGTGTTCTGGAGTTGTGGGGACAGGTGTTAAGGAGCAGGGGATGTTTACTTTCCTAGCTCACACCCTTGGGAGATTTTTTATCTCTATGGATGGTTCTTTAAAGAAAAATATTAAATGACTTGAGAGCTCTTAAACATCATGCTTAACTATTCCGATCAAAACTGAAGCCCAAAAAAACAGACTGAAAATTAGCACTTCTTCCTGATAAAATATGGATATTTAGGGCTTGCCATTTTGCTTGGATTTAATTACCTAACTTCAAACTTCCTAGAAGCCATAGTGTAGAGGTGCAGGATAAGCGTTGGACAGCTATCCTAGAGTTAGCTGTTGGAACCCACCAGACACTCCTTGAAAGCCCTCTACAAGGGTCGCTATGAGTTGGAATTGATTTGATGTCACTTAGCAAGGTGCCACACTACAAAAGAAACCGGTGGAATTCATTTAACATTTTTTATTTATACCATAGTATCTAAAATATTATCAACATGTAAACAATATTTTAAGTTTTTTTTTAAAGTCACAGATGTTTACTGCTCCCTCAATGGATGAACTCTGGGGCCATCCATGTTGGCCAGGTGGACAGATTTTAAGATCAGTTTCCATTGTTTTACACTGGCTTTTTGGTCCCTGGGTGGAACAAACAGTACTCACTAAAAAGTTTATGGCTCAAACCCACCAAGTGTGCTGCAAAAGAAAGGCCTCGTGATTTGCTTCTGTAAAGAAAACCCAATAGAACAGTTTTACTCCGTAACTCACGGACCACGTTATTTACTTGACAGCAATGGACACAGGTCCACTGGCTTCTGAATTTACCAGTGTAAACTAGTGTCCAACAAAGATTCAAATGCTTCTGTAGCCAGAAGAGTCTCCGTAGTTTGTGCATCAAACTAGGTCTCAAACTGGCTGCATTCCTTAGTTAGACTATTAAACATACTCTCCTAGTAAACAATTCCAAAAGCTTGAGGACTTAAAACAGCAGATTTTCAGAATTCACGATGTGCATCCATCTCGGGTCTGGAGATTATTCTAAAATGCAGCTAAGTGGAGCAGCTACCATCTAAGACCTCACTGGTCACTGTACCAGAGGAAACAAAACTCTAGACATCTTATACCAAGAATGTAATGTTCCAACCTGCTCTCTCCATGTCCTCATCTCTGCCTCCATCTCTGGTGTCGCTGCTTCTCTGCTTGTGGTCTTCTTCCTTGATGATCCTAGGTCCTTTGTTTCTGGACTGTAAGATTAACTACCCTGTTTTTGTGACAAAACTTCTACCTTTACAGTTGTAATAGTCGCAATTAGTCATGATGATAACAACAACAACAACAAAGTTTTATTGTGAATTACGTGATAGTTTACATAGGAGAACATTAGCTGTACATTCATCCTATTGTATATTGTTTCAGTGCCATGGTTACAATCTCCTCCATGCATCAGAAACCAACCAAAGGGTATACCCTGCAAGTCTGCTCCCCTCCTTCCCCCTCGGTCATCAGCACAGGTCTAGAGTCCCCAGCCGCTCCATCTCTCCACGTCATAACAGATAAGATTTTTATGAAGCAAGTCTTCAAAGGCCAGTGTCTTGTAAATTCTCAATTTGGATGTTAAATCATCAGAAACTCGATCTGTATTTAGATTTTATAAAATTTACAGTTAAAAACAGAATCACATATACTAGTTCTACACCAGTGTTTTCCAGTAGCGGATTGGGTACCGCTGTTTAAATGTTGACTATTTAAATACACTATGAAGTGCAGCCCAATTGCACGTGCCCCTCCAATGACCACCATACTGGACCCTACATTTGCACAAGTCCTTGTCCAGACGTGGTGAACTGGACCACTTGGTCTTGCACCACCTCCTAGCAGCCGGGGGCCGAGGAAACCGGGGGCTGGACAGCAGTGCCAGGACACCTGGCTCACAGTTCAGGTGACAAGGGATGGAGTGACACCTGCATACCCCTCCCCCACAGCCACCAGTGTTCATGAAGCAGCCCCCTCCCTTACGTCAGCTTCTAATGTTTAAACATGAGACAAAGTGTCGTCTCTAACAGTGGGCATTGGTGGCTTCTCTCCGATAGCAGAGACGGTACCTGGGAACAAATAATCCGCTTGGTTGCTGGCCAACAATGATGCTGCTTTAGCACTAGACAAGTAGACTTGAGTCTCATCGTCCCTTCCCTAGGCTCCGATGGCCACCACATCTCGGCCCCTCACCTCACAGGTCCTTCTTTCTTGTATCAGGTCTGGCTACCTTAGAATGTTGTTGTTGTTGTTAAGTGCCATCGAGTCGGGTCCGACCCATAGCGACCCTGTACAGAGTTTCCGAGGGTGTAAATCTTTACGGGAGTAGAAAGCCTCATTTTTCTCCTGCGGAGCGGCTGGTAGTTTCGAACTGCTGACCTTAAGGTTCGCAGCCTGATTCGTAACCACTACGCTACCAGAGCTCCTTAGAATAGTACTTCATTATTCTTCTACTTATCCACACTTTTGTCAGAATGTGCTCCTGGAACCGTTTTGATAGTCTGCCTGCAGAGTAACATTGTCATAGTACTTTCTCGGGCCAGCAGGAGTGAGGACCAGGTACTCTCAGCATTACCTCCTGATTTTGCACCTGGAAGACAGAGAAGAGTTGAGGGTTTTCTGGAGTTGGTTCTTGCAGTCAAATAAGATCTTTCAGAAGACAGCTGGTTACACCTTGTGCCAGAACGGGATGCATTTATAACCTGGGTCCCCAGACCAGAACTGCCCATGATTAACTTATACAGCACTGGGGCATGTGAGGTTAATGCTTACTTCTGGGGCAAACAATAGCTACCCGTTTCCCCACTTCAATACCTGAGTTGTTGTGCCAGCCAGCTGGGGGAGAATGTGTTCAATGCTCCTGGAGGCTTGGACCCTGAAGGCCCTGGCACTGGGCACCTGTGGAAAGGACATATCAGTACTGCCCACCTGGACCTGCTGACAGATCCTACAGGCAGGGCTGCTGGTGCACCGCCTGGCTCAGGTAGAGACAGCATCAGGAAAGAGTCACACAATTATTGAGGAGCTTAAGTGTGTTTTTCATCCAACAGCAAGTGTTAAGGGAATGTTCCTTTCACTCTAGAATCCAACTCTACTCAAGCTTGCAGCTGAAGCTGAGCTCTCAGGCAATCCTGGTGTGGTGTTATTAGATGAACACTGGGCTGTGAACCACAAGGTTGGCAGTTCAAACCCACTAGCCACTCCTCAGAAACCCTGTCCAGGCTCGCTTTGAGTCAGAATCAACTCGACAGCACTTAACAACAGGCAATCCAGCAGAGTCACCTGCAACTGTTTCTTTTGTTGTGGACAATCACACAAAGCATTTCACTTACGAGTCATTACAGAAACACTGATGAAAGCCAACAGACATCAGTTAACTAACACCAAAGACATACACCAAAACCACCTAGAGGTGGCTAGGATTTGGGGAATGGCACCTGAACACATTCCTAGAAGGGATTCTTCAAAGAGCTTCAGAAATTGGCACATTCTAGGAGGTCCCCGAAAAAACAATTCCAGACGTGAGCTGAGCTGAGATCCTTCAGTCAATATGTCAGTCATGATACCCCCACTACCCTCCAGTCCATTCCCACTCCTAGAGACCCCACAGGGTTTCCAAGGCTGTAAATCTTTACAGGAGTAGGCAGGCAGTCTCAGCTCTCTCATGTGGTATAGCTGGTGGATTCAAACCACCAACCTTTTGATTAGCAGCCCAATATTTACCACACCACGCCACAAGGGCCCCTTGTCAATCACAACGGGGTGCAAGTAGTAGGAGGCACTCTAAACAGCCAACAACAGGGGCTCTTCCCTGGGTTCCTTGACCCTCCAAAACAGGACCAGTTTCAGCTGGCAGCTCGCTGAACCATTTCCTCGTAACCAGCCCTTGCCCTACCATTAACTGGAACTGGATGAGAAATTAGAGGGTTACGGGAGACTGAAACCAAACATTACCTAGATAACTGAGATTATGTTCATCAAACCCCTGATAGCAAATACTAGTGTGGGACAGTGCTCAGACAGTTCCCGTTCTCTAAGGCAGCTTGTTGGCGTCCTGTTCTCACCCGGTTCTGCTAGGAGGGCGGCCTCCCTGCTTGCAGTCGTGGTCCAGGGGGTGCCTGTGCCGGAGGCAGAAGCTGCCGTTACACACGTCACAGACCACCTGCAGCATCTCCTTCCTCTTGCATCCTTCTCTGGAGCACCTGTGTGTGAAAATCTAAGAAAACAAGCATTATGAGACTTCTTCAACAAGACCATTTCATTTATGCAAGACAATGCTCTTAGCTAAACAGAATAAAGATACCCAGGGTTCCGGCAAACACAAGAGTGTTAAGGGAGAGGTGCGTTCCAGCTGGAAAGACAGAGAGAATTTTAACAAGTGTTCACTATCGACACCCCGTGGTGTGGGGCTGGTTCGGACTCACAGTGATCCTGTAAGAGAGAGCAGAACTAACCTATAGAGTTTCCGAGATGGAAAATCGTTATGGAAATAGCCTCATCTTTCTCACACAGAGACTGGTGGGTTTGAACCACCAACCTTTCTGTTATCAGCCCAGTGCTGAACACACTGTATCACCAGGGATCCTTGTGATTAAGATAGGGCAGTGTATTCCACTGAACCCCAGAAGTAAGACCTCTGAACAAGGGAAGCTAGTGGAAATGACTGGATGGTTTCCCAGGAAAACCACAACAGCACATCAGAGGGCAAGGGGGAGGAAGGATGGGAGGGCTCTTTGGGGGGTCTAGCTACCACCACCTGCCACTTCCAGACGATATCTAATGTTGGATCAACGTTTTGTTTCCTGGATGTCTACTTTCCCTCCTGAAACCCTACAGAAACGAGTGTCTGAAAGGCACAAACCCACTACTGTGGAGTTGGCTCTGACTCGCAGTGACCTGACAGGGCAGAGGAGAGCTGCTCTGCACGGGTTCTGAGACAGCCTCATCTTTCCGCTGAAAAGCGGCTAGTGAGTTGAACTGCTGACCTTGTAGTTACCAGACCACCACTTAACTGCTCTGCAGTGACCACTAATTACCATTAGTGTTAAGGGCCACCAAGTCAGTCCCTGTATAGGCTTTGCAAGGATCAGCTGGTGATCTTGCAGTTAGCAGTCCAGTGTTTATCTGACAGCACCACATCAGGACTCCAATCGCCATTTTAATGGGCTTTAAACCAAAAGTCAAAACCAAACCCAGTGACTTCAAGTTAATTCTGACACACAGCAAGGCCACAGGACAGGACAGAGGACAGTTGCCCTGGAGACTTCTCAAAGCCGGCATTTACGGAAGTAAATGCCTCATCTTTTTTTCTGAGGAGCGGCTTGTGGACTTGAACCGTTGACCTTTAAGTTAGCATCCAAGCCCTTTTACCACTGCCATCAGTAGGGCTCCCCATGAATCCATAAGGCAGGGAATAAAGCGTGTCAAGGTTTCAGAAGCTGAGAGCATGGGTACGAGAAGCCAGAGTGTGAGCTGCAGGGAGGACTGGACACCCGGGGAAGGTCACGCAGCATTGGGGCGGGCAGGTGGACCGTGTTGAAGTTGGGAGAGGAAGGAAGATGGAGACATGGTGGCACAATGTTGGAATGAAGGGTGGGGAAGACAAACTCGAGAAGGAGCAGTACACGCACCTGGAGCAAAAGCAGATACCAAAAACCAGTCAGGAAAACCCAGCAGGAGTTGAGGTGATTGCCCAGGGGCCATTTTCTCATGTGCTTCACCCCAAATAGTCAGATATGCAGCTCTAGTAAAACCAGCAAAGCTCCCAAGACCAAGCAGTCATACCTGAGAGAGCCGCTCAGGAAACCTGGGTCTAATTCCCCATCTCGGGAGAAAATGGGTAAACTGTCTGTTCCCAGGAGCCCTGATGCTGAGAGTGTTTTTAAAGAGGAGGATAGCCAGGTGATCATGGGTCTCCCCCTGTGCCCGCACCCCCTACAAGGAAACACTTGAGGGGTCTTCAGACTTCCCACTCACCTTCTCCCGACTCTTTCCGGGGTTGTACTTGCAGTCCCGGTCCATGTGCTCACCAACCACCACGTCGGGCAGCTCCCCCTTCTTCACTGGGACAGGACTGCTACAGAGCGGGCACACAGGGACCTGGATATCCTATACACGAGGAATGCAAAGTCAGACCACCAGACAAGGGGGCGATGGTGCAGTGTGTGGACAGACAGCACACATCGACACCTCAGCATAAACCTGTGCAGAATGTAAACATAATACACATTTCAAGCAACCTTGGGAGCAACCCAAGACGGTCTGAGAAAAAGCAGTAGGGGTTGGTAGAGAGGGCTGCTCTAGGGGGACTAGGGAGACAGGAGAGGACCACCAGCCACAGAAACCACCCAACAGTCTTTCTGGTCTTTGTGCAGCTTCCCTGTGGTTGACACCAGGAGAGACCCACCGGTGGGCCTCGGGGAGGTAGGTCACTGCACGGGCCACACCTCTGCTGAGTGTAAGCCCAGGCCCTCGGGGCTCTGAGTAGCCACCTGAAATGTCCAGTAACTGCTCAACTGTTGAAGATGATGACAGGGGGTATACTGGGGCAGCCGCCATCACCATGTTGCTGCCTGGACTGGGGCTGGAAGAGCAGATGGTGCTCCCTCATGACCCAGTCTGCTAATTAACCCTTTCATGACTTATGGGACATACAGAGCCCACATACATTTTCAGCTTCTGGGGTTCTTGGGATGTTGTTATCCCACTTTTTGTGTGTGCTGCCATCTGGTGGGAAACCTGTGTAACTGCGTGAATCTGAAGACTCCTGCTCCATCCCATCAACCTGTCATGTCCTGGTGTGGCGCTGTGGGCTAATGCGCTAGACTGCAAGGTTGACAGTTCAAGCTCACCAGCTGCTTCTTGGAAACTCTATAGAGTCACTATGGGTCAGAATCAACAGGATGGCACTTAACAACAACAAAAAATCTATTTTTTCCTGGTGTGGTACTATAGCTTAAACACTGGACTGTGAACCACAAGGTTGGTAGTTCTAACCCACCAACTGCTCCTTGGAAACTCTATACTGGGTAGCCAGAACCGACTCGATAGCACTTGAACAACAACATTGCAATTTCTTTTACATTTCATTCAAAATGCTTCCCATTACTGAAAAGACATGCTTTTAATAGAATGTTCAAAATAGAATTTCTCCCTCTGCAGGGCCATAGGCAGTGTGGCCTGGTCATTGGTCCCTGGGTAATCAGCACCACATACCCTACAGCTTCTAAAGCAAGCTGACGTGTCTCACACTGGCTAGCACTGAAACAGCACAGGAGTGCCGAGTCACTCAAGGGCTAACACTGACATCATCTAAGAACTGTTGGAGACAAGCCAGGCCGCATGACCATCAGGAACAGAGTCAGACTTATGCAAGCTTGCTTTCTTTGTTGTTTTCCAGTTTCTAGCGTGTTCCACCTGAATCATTTAACCATGAGTCAGGGGTGCAACCTGACAACCTCCAGGTGAGAGGGCAAGTCAGGGATTCAGCCATTTCCTGGGCATGTGGAGAGAGAGCCCAGTTGGTTCAGTCCTTGGAGTGATGAATCAAAGAAACCACGTATTTTACCAGGCAAAGAAGCAAGCTTTGCCAGTTAAGTCACAACAATTGGACTCCATGAATGAGCCATGAGTGAAACAATGCAAAAGAAATGAAACCCCTGTTTCTGTGGAGCCATGCTGGCCAATAGGACTTCCTGTGAGTATGCAATGTTCTTGGCCCGGGCTGCCCAGCATGGGCATCACTGTCCATACCTGAAACACACCAGTACAGTTGAGAAGTTGAGTGTCTAACTTTATGTCATTATCATTCATTTAAACGGTCACCTAAGTTATGGGGAGACAGTGCAGACCAGAATAGACTATGAAGAGTTACCTTCTTGAATGCAAAAGGACATCTGTGTGCAGCAAACGTAAAATGATCCTTACAGAAATCCTGTTGACATGCGTCACACGTTATTGGAAGAAAATCTAAACAAAAACAACAGGGATGGGAGGACACACGTGAAGAGCAGGGCTGCAAGTCACACTATAGGCAGTCCGCTGCATTACGTAACTCCCAGAGGACACAACCCACCTCATGGGGTACAGTACTTGGCATCAGGTGGATGGTAAATACAATGGTGAATGGAAATGCCAAGACTCAGAATTGTCAGCCAATTAGTGAAATGTCCGTTCCTCCCATACAGAATACCCATTTTCAATTGCTAGTTCTGGTGTGACACTGTAGGATAAGCACTGAACTACTAACAGCTAAGTCAACGGTTCAAACCCATCAGCTGCTCCTTAGAAACCCTGTACATTCAGTTTCTGTGAGTTGAAACTGACTCAAGGGCACTTAACAACAGTCTCTTAAAAATACTTACCTAGCTGCTTACAAGTTTTTTCTGAGCAATGCTTCCCCAAATCAGGGAACTCCATTATGAGAGAGGACTTCAAAACACAGCTGGCAAAGTTCAGTGTCACCTACAAGAATGAGAATGGTTAGAAGGAAAGCAAAGACTGCCTGGATTTCAGCCAGTGGAATTTACAATTCACAGCTAATACAAGTAAACAAACATGCTCCCCCTGGGGCTTCAAGGGCAAGTCATCCTGGGCCCACGCAAAAAGAAAAACAGAATTTTAACAGAAGCACCAGGTTCTCAGCCCATTATGAAACACTGTTTTTCAGTCCTTGTTACTCCTACTTTGTGAAGCTCACCCTGAGTTCAGGTCTTCATTACACCATGATTTCAGCTCATCTTGGCAGGAGCTTTCCACATTCTATTTACACAGCTGCCAATGAAATGACTACCTTGGGGAATTTTTAGGCACAATTTCATCTATTAAATATACTTGTTGATAGATACAAAAGTGCCTCTGTTACTAGGTGCTAGATTGCTTTAACTGACTACACTATCCACAGGAGACTTCATTCTGTCTCCTGCTGCTCTAACTCCTCTGGGCTTTAAGTTTTACTTTGCCTTTACTCCTTAATGACATCCACCTGGAGTTCAACAGCGAGCCCAAGGAAAACAAAACCCACTGCCTTCAAGACCACCCCAGAAGACAGAGCAGAACTGCCCCATATGGTTTCCAATGCTGTCATCTTTACAGAAGCAAACGGCCACAACTTTCTTCCTCCAAGAGGCTGGTGGGTTCAAAACCCTCATATTTCTGTTAGCAGGCAAGGAGCTTTAACCACAGCGCCACTAGAGCTTCCTTAAGGAGACCAAGAAGCTGTGAGCTCACCATGAAAATCAAGTATACAATGGTCCTGACTTTGAGGACGCCTCCTAATCTGGGGTCCTCCAAACATTTCAAAAAACAAAAAAAAAACCCAGTCTCCTCTCTCCAGGAATTCAAGTCCAAAGGGCTTTTTTCAGTCTTCCCAGCAGGCTCTCCGCCTGGCATACTTCTTCCCCCAGCTAACATCTACATCTCCGTGTTAGCATCCCTTCTTTAAAAGAGCCTCACGGAGTCCTGGGGTGACACTGTGGGTTAATGTGTCAGACTGCAAAGCCGTTTGAACTGTAAGATCGGCGGTTCAAGATCACCAGCTGCTCCTCGGAAACCCTATACAGGGTCGCTATGGGTCGGAATCTACTCGACGGCGCTTAACAACAACAACCACCTTTCACATCACCCCTTGAGTAGGATATATATCCTACTCTCAAAGGATCCAGTCACTGCTTCCTGCACCGACTCATAACCTCAACCACAGAAAACTTCACTGTGAGCTCCATGGAGTGCAGGGGTCCTGTGGGAAGAAGGAAGCCTTACTTCTGTGAGTTAGGCGCTGGACTGCTAACTGCAACGTCCGCAATTCAAAGCCAGCAGCCGCTAGGGAGACAAATGAGGCTGCATTATGATGTACTGGTGTGGCGCTGTGGGTTAATGTGCTGGACTGCAAAGTCCGTTTGAACCGCAAAGTCGGCGGTTCAAGTTCACCAGATGCTCCTTGGAAACCCTCCCTATACAGGGTCGCTATGAGCCTGAATTGACTCGACGGCACTTAAGAACAACAAAGATGTACAGCCTTGGAATCCTATGGGGCAGTTCCGCTCTGTCCTACAGGATCGCTAGGAGTCGGGATGGACTCCCTAGCAGGGGGTTTGATTTGGGCTTTGGGAACCAGAAAAGCGCAAGGCAGGGCAGGGCAGAGTAGGCGTTCCGTCACTCAGTGTCCTAGAGACTGGCCGGAATCTGCACTCTAGCCCTAAATAATTTTGTCCTCGGCACCATAGCAGGTCGACAAGAACACTAACTTATAGGATCACTCTGCCATGACATGAACGTCCCATACGCACGAAGCTGGGGGTGGGGGTTCACAACCGCGGTTAACATTAGGCCTCCGTGAGACGCCTTCATGGCCCTCGGCTCTTTCCTAGCCGCGTACCTGACAGTCTTCGGAGACACCGACAGCTGAGAAGGCGAGAAGAAGGCGGAAACAGGAAGGCGGGCTCCCCTCGTCGGTACCAGCCAAGGGAACAAGGGAGACGGAGCCCGAGCGGAGGCCACAGCACGGCCGAGTCTACGGGAAAGACAAGCATCTCGCAAGCACCAGCGCTCAGACATTTATCCTCCAGAGGACCCTCCTGCGAGCCGCCGCCTTAGTCCTTCCCCGCGCGCACCGATGACGCGACGTTCTACAGGCCAATCCCGCCCCGCAGCGGCCCCGTGGACCCGCCCACACCCCGGCGCTCCACCTGGCTCCTCGAACAGTCTAGCAGCTTCGCGGAGCCGGCGCTTGTGTGACGTCTGTGATGTGACTCTGAGTCACGGTGAGGCGGATGATGCTTGAGACGTGGCGCTCAGTCATGGTGCGGCGGTAACGCTCGCGACGTGGTGCTGAGTCACAGTGAAGCAGCGCTGCACAGGTGCACTTTGGTCGGGCTCGCCACTTGGGAAAGTTGAGTCCGAGTGGGCGAGTCTGCCATGCGAGTGCTCTCCCCCATTGGCGGAGGGAGCACCCCTAGTTGGTCCGTCGCTCCGTGGCTGAATGGGCGCCCAAGAGCTGCGGAAGTAAGGTGTGACGCCCATGCGGCCCCAGAGCCACAGCCTTTTGCACACATTCATTCTCCCACCACGTGGAGGGGAAGCTAGCCTTGGAACCAGTGGAACAGACCCGGAGTTTTGCACATTGAGTGAAACAGTGCGAAAACCGGAGAAAATTACAGTTCTCCTAGGGGATCATTCACATTTCATAGCAAACCGAATCTCTCCCCAGTTTCCAGAAAGGGCTTGCCATGCCTCTTCCAAGTTTCCTGTACCAGGGCTTCCACTGTGATACTTTCCCAAATCAGTCTGAGGAATTTAAATCATTAACAGGGAACTTAAAAGAGGAGAAGGCATGATCAGCGCTTTTGCTGATGAAGTTAAAGATCGCAGATGCAGAAACCATGTGCTGCGATCCCTAGCATGCACCTTGAAGCGTTAAACCCACATCCTGAAAAATTATGTGCCTTGTCTTCCTGTGGGAAACTCCCTAAAAGTTGTTTTTTCAGAAACTCATGAGGCGAGAGTCAACTGGAACCAGATCCAGAGCAACCGAAGAGCCAACCACCCAGATTACTACGAGACCTTCCAGTAGGGGACGTCGTTAAACCATCCCATAATACTGAGAAGCTGCGCAGGCGCCTCATTGTTATGCACCACGCCTCTCTACACTCAATTCCAGGAAAGCCTCACCTTCCCCCCAAATTTATAGGAATATGTATTAGTTTATTGAATTACTGCAGATGTGTCCCTTTCTGTGCCCGCCGCATCTTCCCTTGTAGGGTATTCTCAATCCTGCAAATAAACTCCTTGCTTGTGTCAAGAGTCTGATGTCTAGCTTTGTTATTCTTACTTTGCAGAGTGAGAATCTTTAATCTCGGAAAGAGTCCTGCTCACCTAAATTTAAAACATTTGCGTCTCTTTCCGTTTTAAGTCCTTGATCATAAACCAGCTTGAAGCCTTGGAACGCCAGAGAACTATGCAGGGAGTCCATCGAATCCAGACAGACATCCTGGGGAGTGACCGCACAGGGGTCCCCAAAGGCGGCAAGAGTCTTAGCAGGAGAGGGCAGAGGACACAGATGGCCACAGTTGCAAGGGACAGGTCCTGAGGTGGGAGGCCAGAGTGGCTGGACCTGGAGGTCTACCTGCCTGGAGGGCCCTCCTCCTCTTCTAACCACCAAGCAGTGCTTAAAGGGGGTCTTAGGTGTGCTGGAATATAAAATAAAATTTCGATTTTTTTTTTTTAATAAAGAATTCATTCTGAGGAAATTTCAAACATTGGGCCTGATGTGGTATTGTAAGATAAGCACTGGACTGCTACCTGCATGGCTGGTAGTTCAAACCCACCAGCTGCTCTTTGGAAACCTTAATCCTTTAATCCTTTGATTGGTTTCTCACATCAGTTCACATCATGGGGCTCATCACATAACTGCCAAACCAGTGAGAACATGGTCCAGCCAAGTTGATGATAGTTGATGAAGTCTGAGATAACAACAGTTCAAATCATGACTGGTTATGAAATCACCCATTGGCATAGAGTCAGTTTTGATAGTCACCGTATACAGGGCTTCTGGGACTGCAAATCTTTATGGGAATAGACAGCCTCACCTTTCACTCTCAGAGCAGCTGGTGGATTTGACCTGTGGTTCTTGCGGTGAGCAGCCCAACGCCTAATCCGCAGTGCCATCAGGGCTCCTTATAGTACCTTTGTGGGGAACACAATTCAATCCATACTAGACTGTAATTGCTTTTCCATGGGTCATATTTCAGGTGACTACAGGTGATCTTAAGTGGGCCTCTTAAGAATGAAAATGAGGTACTGTTAATTTTTTTGGGACAATAGGCACAAGCTGGAACTCTTCTAGAAAAATCAGGATATAAAGTCACTGTAATCGTATATATACTCCCTGTGGCCAGTGACTAACATACTACCAGAACCATTATGTGAATGAGGGAAAGGTGGATCCCAAAGCAACTAATAGAGGGAGGAGGGACAACACTGCTGGTACTTGATGCACTTAGTGATGCAAATCAAAGAACTGCAGTCCTCTGTATGGATTACACGTCAACATAAAGCAAAAATCCTCAGAATTGGACCAACAGCCAAATATTTCATTTTACTTGGATCCACACTCAACATTCATGGAAGGAACAGTCAAGTCATCAAGGGATATATTATAGCATTGGGCAAATCTGTTGCAAAAAAAAAAAGCTTCCTTAAAATGTTCAAAAGTAAAGATGACATGTTGAGAACTATGGTGTTTTCGTTTGTCTTGTGCATGCAAAAGCAGGATGATGAATAAGGAAGACAGAAGAAGACTTCATGCCTCTGAATTATGGTGTTGGCAAAGAATAATGACTATACCAAGGACTGCCAGGAGAATGAACAAATCTGTCTTGTAAGCATGATATAGCAGGTGTTGGACCTCCTTTAACTTCATG